CTCACGCGGCTCCTCCTTCGTGACGTAGCAGCGCAGGGGTGCTCATTTCGGACTATTGACATTTGTGTGCGCCACTAAAAATTGTAAATCCGTCAGTGGCACTCAACCTGGGGCTCGTGACGTATTTCTCCAGCACTTCAGGAGCAGATCCCTCGTCCTTCTCGCGGCCTACTGAAGTTCTGCGCTCATCACTGCTGCCATTAGACCTTCTCACAGGGAAGTCAATTATTATTATTATTTTTTTCTATTGATTTTCCCTGAACTTCGCTGCTGCTTTTGCTTGATTTCAATTTTTTTCGCTATTGGCTGTGCTTTTCTCCACTGTTGCGTTCTCTACGATTTTCTTGTTTGGTGCTTTCTCTGCTTGCTGAATTTGTATTTGCTATCGGGTGAGCATATCTTTCACAGGGAGATTATTTATTCAAGCCAGTAGAACAAAGTTTATTGAGTCTCTCTACACGGAATCATCGGAATCATCGTCACGATTACGTGAAGCAGGGGGTATACGATGTCTGTCTGCAGCGGTACTCCACGGCTCGTACGTCGTTCATAGGGCTAATCAAGGCCATTGATGAGACTGCGAACCTCTCGGAATCGTTTTGTCGACCCGCTGCATCAGTTCCGTCTGCTCAGATGACTCAAAGGCAGTTACCGAAGATCTCGCTGCCTACCTTCTCAGGGGACTTTTCCGAGTGGACACCTTTCAAAATAACCTCTCTACAGTCGAGAAATTCCATTATCTCTTGACTTCTCTTGCTGGCGAGCCAAAGCAGTTAATCTCAATTCTGCCGGTAGCTCAAGACTCATTCATTCCAGCGTGGGATATGCTTATCGCGAGGTATGACAATGAACGTCTCCTCATCTCTACCCAGCTGGAAAGATTGTTCTCCACTCCGAGGATCGTCAACCGTACGGCCAAGGAGTTTAATGCTCTCCTCAACTCCACCACCGACGCAACTCCAACCGTACGCCCTGAAGTCGTTGGCGCGCCCTGTCGAGCACTGGGACGACGTCTTGGTGCATATCATCTCAAGCCGGTTGGATGTTAAGACGTTGGAGGCGTCGGAAGTTAAGATCGGATGCACCACCACCTTTCCAACATACGCGGAACTCAGGGAGTTCATGTTGAGCAGAGCAAGAGCTAGGGAGAGAATTGAGCTGCATCCTCTGCACGCTCCTAAGATGCCAACTTCGAGTGTGCCCTCTCAACTACCCAGAGCAAAGCCAGCAAAGGTGATGAATGTCTCAACTGGCAGTGCAGTTCCACAGGCTCGCGGGTCGAGTTCGCAGTCATGGGCAGACATGACCGCCAATGCCTGCTCCATGTGTGAGGATAAGCATTTCATCGATACGTGCCCCAAATTCAAGCAGTTGTCGCCGGAAAAGAGGAAGGAGTTCGTCGAAAAGAAGTACCTCTGCTTCAACTGCTTGGGGAAGCACTCTATTCATGCCTGTAGGACCACGAAGACGTGCGTTGTGTATCACAAGTATCACCACTCGATGATCCACATCACACGCCCTCAGAATGGTCCTCTGGAGACATTTCAACTAGACCAGTTGAAGTCTCAAGGTCAGTGGTCTCAGTCTGGTACTCGTCCTATACAGTCCGCTGTTCCGGGGCCTTCATCAGTGCAGCAGTGATCTTCTCAACCAACGACTTCATCGACAGCGGCCCCGGTAACTTCAGAACGTTCTCTACGGCCGTCGCTGTCAAGTGATTCTCCATCTGTAGCATTATCAGTTCATGAATCGTCATCTCAACTCAGACCAGGTGTTCTTCTCGCAACATCGCTAGCTTCTCTCGTTTCAGAGAATGGATGATGCTGTGAAGTTCGGATACTGTTGGATCCTGGATCTGAGTTATCATTTGTTACAGATAGTCTTGCGGTAAAGCTAGGTTTGTTGAAGCCTCCAGCTTTGCTACCTGTCGTTGGTATTGGTGGATCAAGATCATTCTCAAAGGAATTCTCTGAGTTCTGTCTGTAGTCTCTGCACTCAGACAAACATCTTCAGATTAAGGCCTACATCCTTGACCATCTCACATCATCGTTGCCGTCGTTCTCAGTCTCGGATACCCAAGCTTGGGGCCATCTCGAGGGCTTGAAGTTAGCTGATCCGGAATACATGGAGCCAGGACCTATTGACCTTCTCATTGGCGCGGATTTCTTCGAATCAATTGTGGAGCCACAGATCATCAAGGGGCCTTCGGACTCCCCTATAGCAATACACACTATCTTCGGTTGGGTGGTACTAGGACTTAATTCAGCGGTGATTCCAATGGTGGCCAGCTCTAATCACATTGCAGTCAGGAACGAGGAACTGTACGACCTTCTCACTTCATTCTGGCTGCAGGAGGAGGTCCCAAAAGCCGAAGATAGTGATCTCACGAAAGAAGAGGCAGAATGTGAGGAGTTTTTCCAGCGCACCCATTCACGAGACAGCTCAGGGCGCTATGTGTTTCGCCTGCCTCTTGCACGTTCTCCGACAGAGGTTGGCGACTCTTATGGTCGAGCTAAGGCGTGTCTCTCCAGCCTGTTCCGGAGAATGGATAGGGATCAACGGACCCTTCAGCTATATAGTGTTTTTCTCAAGGAGTATGAAGATCTGGGCATATGGTGCGTGTTCCAGCCTTAACTGGTTCGGGGAATACCGGGAGCTTGAAGTTCGGCTCTCGATCTGAGGGGATGACCTTGGCACATGGGGCTTCGGCTTCAGGAGGGTTGAGGGTCCCTGAGGAGAAGTAGTCGGCTCGTGTCTCCACTCGGTGTTCTGCTCAGAGGCAAGCTCATTCGTCAACTCCTATGTACTACTTTCCTCATCATGGTGTTCTCAGGGAAAGTAGTGAAACAACGAAGCTGAGGGTAGTCTTCAACGGCTCTAGTAAGACCAGCTCAGGGGTGTCTCTCAATGACATCCAACACACTGGAGCCAAACTGCAGAAGAATATCTCTGACGTGCTGCTCTCATCCAGGCGGAGCAAGTACATTTTCATGACGGACATCACGAAGATGTTCCGTCAAATCAAGGTGCATCGTGAGGACTGGCCTCTTCAGCAGATTCTGTGGCAGGATTCTCAAGGTCAGATCAACACCTACCAGCTCACCACCGTGACCTACGGGACTAAATCGGCCCCATTCTTAGCCTGTAGAGTTCTCAACCAACTGGTCGCAGACGAAGGACATCGTTTTCCTCTAGCAATCTCTCCGTTGACCAGTGGAAGATACGTGGACGACATCTGTGGTGGCGCTGAAGAGGAGAGTGATCTTCTAGAAGTCTCCAAGCAAGTGAGGGGTCATTGCTTAGCTGGTGGTTTCCCTCTAGCGAAGTGGCATAGCAATAGTCCGTGTCTACTCAAATCTCTGAATCCAGAAGGTGTCTCTCAGGATTATCAGCTGCTAGAGGATGCCATCACGAAGATTCTTGGTCTGAAGTTGGATCCAAACATAGACCAATTCAAGTTCTCAATCCACCTTCCGGCCAACTCATAGGTGACGAAGAGGAATATATTGTCTGAGATAGCTCAATTGTTCGACCCTCTGGGGCTGCTTTCTCCTGTGGTGATTAGGGCAACGGCACTCCTACAGCATCTCTGGGTTGAGAAGCTGGAGTGAAATGCTGCGCTCTCACCACAAATCTCGGATAAGTGGACCCAATTCCGTAAGGAGCTGTCTCAGGTCGAAAATATCTCTATTCCTCGTTAGCTCGGAGTGAAGAAGGATGCTCTGGTAGAAATACACGGGTTTTCAGACGCATCGCAAACGGCGATGGCTGCGGTCGTATATTTGAATGTGACAAGTTCAGATGGTGTGAGTGTCTCTTTAGCTACTGCCCAAATCAAGCTGGCTCCTCTCAAGCAACTCACCATTCCGAGAGTTGAACTCAACGCCGCAGTCATGCTGGCAAAACTCACAAGGTATGTGCGTGTTCAACTCAACCTTGATAACGCTCCTGTGTTCCTGTGGACAGACTCAGCTGTTACCTTGGCGTGGATCAGCTCTCGTCCCTCCCGGTGGAAGGAACATGTGCATAACAGGGTAGCCAGCATACAGGAACTGGTTCCAGGAGCGAAGTGGCGATACATCAGCGGTACGGAGAATCCTGCTGATTGTGCTTCTCGGGGCATCACTATGGCTCAACTCAGTGCTCATTAACTGTGGTGGACGGGTCCAAAGTGGCTGCAGTTAGACTCCTCTCAGTGGCCGAAAGAGAATGCCAAACTGGATCCGTCAGCGAATCTGGAAGAGAAGCCCGGGTCCATATTTACCGTTTCAATGGGGTCTACTCTCTGGGATCTCATCACCAAGTACTCCTCTCTCTACAAATTGCTGCGCATAACAGCAATTTGTCAACGTGTTGTTGCTCGGATGAGGAGGAAACCAGGTGAAACTCTCGTGTATCCACTCAGTCCTGATGGCATCGAGGCAGCTAGGCTGTATTGGGTCAGAGCCACTCAGGCTCATTATCTGCAGTCGGAGTGCAGCATTATCTATCGTGGTCAACAACTTGGGAGGTCTCATCCGTTGACCAAACTGACTGCCTTCATGGACCATCAAGGTGTTCTCCGAGTGGGCGGAAGATTGAAGTTCTCTAACCTGCACCCAGAGAGTAAACAACAAGCGATCGTCCCTAAAGATTCCGAGCTGGCTGAACTTCTCATTAGGGACTCTCATCAGCGAACGTTGCATGGTGGAACTCAACTCACGTTGNCCTTGGCGTGGATCAGCTCTCGTCCCTCCCGGTGGAAGGAACATGTGCATAACAGGGTAGCCAGCATACAGGAACTGGTTCCAGGAGCGAAGTGGCGATACATCAGCGGTACGGAGAATCCTGCTGATTGTGCTTCTCGGGGCATCACTATGGCTCAACTCAGTGCTCATTAACTGTGGTGGACGGGTCCAAAGTGGCTGCAGTTAGACTCCTCTCAGTGGCCGAAAGAGAATGCCAAACTGGATCCGTCAGCGAATCTGGAAGAGAAGCCCGGGTCCATATTTACCGTTTCAATGGGGTCTACTCTCTGGGATCTCATCACCAAGTACTCCTCTCTCTACAAATTGCTGCGCATAACAGCAATTTGTCAACGTGTTGTTGCTCGGATGAGGAGGAAACCAGGTGAAACTCTCGTGTATCCACTCAGTCCTGATGGCATCGAGGCAGCTAGGCTGTATTGGGTCAGAGCCACTCAGGCTCATTATCTGCAGTCGGAGTGCAGCATTATCTATCGTGGTCAACAACTTGGGAGGTCTCATCCGTTGACCAAACTGACTGCCTTCATGGACCATCAAGGTGTTCTCCGAGTGGGCGGAAGATTGAAGTTCTCTAACCTGCACCCAGAGAGTAAACAACAAGCGATCGTCCCTAAAGATTCCGAGCTGGCTGAACTTCTCATTAGGGACTCTCATCAGCGAACGTTGCATGGTGGAACTCAACTCACGTTGACGCATCTCAGGAGGTCTTACTGGATTATTGGAGGAAGAGCGCCAGTAAGATCCTTCATTCTCAAGTGCATGGAATGTGCCCGCCAACGTGGAGTACGTGCTCAGCAACTGATGGTGCAGCTTCAACCGGCACGTCTGTCTCCAGGACGTACCTTCTCTAATACTGGTGTAGATTAAGCTGGACCAGTGTCCATCAAGACGTGGAAGGGGCATGGTCATAAAACCCAAAAGGGTTGGTGAGTGATCTTCGTTTGCATGGCCACCTCAGCACTTCATCTGGAAGCTGCCACCGACTACTCTGCTGATGGGTTCATCGCTGCCTATAGGAGATTCGTGAGTCGTCGAGGTCTTTGCAGGAACCTCTTCAGTGATTGTGGAAAGAATTTCGTTGGTGCAGACAAGGAGCTGAAGAGGTTGTTCTCTACTGGATCAAAGGAGTTCCAGCATCTCTCAGCAGTTTGCCTGCAAGACGGTACTCGGTGGTCTTTCAATCCACCTGGGGCCCCTCATTTTGGAAAAACATGGGAAGTAGCGGTAAAATCAGTGAAGTATCATCTCTCTCGAACGATTCGGGACACTATACTGACGTTTGAGTGACTCTCTATGCTGCTTACCCAAATTGAAGCTGTGCTCAACTCCAGACTTCTACAGGCTCTCTCCGAAGATTCCGACAACGTGTTGTGTCTCACTCCGGGGCATTTTTTGATTGGAGAAGCTCCAATAGCTCTACCGGAACCTCCACTGGACCATCTCAACGTTGGACGGCCCTCAAGATGGCAACTGATTCAGCAGAGGCTGCAGTATTTCTGGAAGCAGTGGTCTACAGGATACCTGCAGCAGCTTCAGTCCATCTTCAAGTAGCATCATCCGTCCAACGATATTCGCATCGGCTCTGTGGTTCTGCTCTCCGATGAGAGGTTCCCGCCAGCGAAGTGGCTTCTAGCGCGGGTCATAGCTCTACACCCTGGGAAGGATGGTCTCTCCAGAGTTGTGACCATCAGGACAGCAACGACGACATTGACTCGGCCGATCTCCAAGCTGGTTCCGTTGCCAATCTCTACCAGCTGATTTTGAAGCTGGTCTCTGTTGACGTTGTTGATCTTCTCTGTTTAGTGTTTCAGGCTTTATCATGGCTTCCTCGAGAACCTGGTCACCAACAAGTTCCTGACGGGGGGAGAATGTTGAGGCTTCAGCCTCACGTCACGGCAGGTTGGTTCGCTGATCACGAGCGGCAGAACCTCCTGGATACGGACCTGCGTTACGGACCGTGTTCAATTAATTAGGACCGACGACACCTGCCGCGACACTTGCCCCATCTCATCACTTCCACTTTCTTCTCTAATCGCCTCGTGACAAGTGTGCATCGTGCAATTCTCTCTCCGTGATTACATCGTGAATTATTGTGAACATCTCCACAGTGCAAGCTCTCTAATTCATTCCAAATTAATTGTCAACGATTAATTATCTTTGTGACGCGGATATTTTTCGAGCTTTGTGTATATTTTATGAGAAATATAGACTTTTATTATGACTCTACACACGTGCACAGTGACATTTATTTTTTGGTGAACTTCTCAACCCTTTCCCGAATCCCGGCTCTCCATCGGTTTTTTTTTGTTTAACTTTCGCCGAAACACACGATAACTTGATAAAAAAATGGTGACAGGGGGTTGAAATTTTGTACGCTTCAAGCTTTTATACCACAAAAGATTTGTATTGCGGATGGGGGCAATTGACCGAGCGGTTCTTAAGTTATTCAACCTTTTGTGTAAATATATTTCTTCAAATTTCTCATGAACTACTGGATAAATTAAAATTTTTTTTTTTCAAAATACTTGTCTCGGTGGCCACCATCTAGGTCAATCAAAATATGTGCACCCATCCGTACAAAAAATCAGAGATATTCCCGTTTTTACGTTTTTTAAAAAATTTTCATTCTTGTATGCACGATATTTTGAGAAAAAATGAAAATAGTAAGTTGAAATTTGGTGTGATTATAGCTCTTACAATATTAAAGATTCGTATTTTGAATAGGCACAATCGGCCGAGTAGTTTCGGAGACATTCAACCTTTTGTACAAATCTATTTCATTAAAAGGTTGAATATCTTCCTGTAGACATCCTGTAGCATGTGGTTAGAGTTGCATACCTGTCACAAGGACAGGGAATTGCTACAGATCCATTCGGAAGCTTACTACCAATGGAATTGGTAGAAATAAAAAAAAGAAAAGGACTAATAACGCAAAAAGTAACGGTCACATGCCTTTTGTCGGATGGGCTCGAATCCCTACTTGTTTTGGGGGGATTTATAAAAAATTCCCGAAAAATCGGTATACACATTCGGACATACATATACACATTTTCTAAAAACATCATATTTTCACATTTCATGACATTCTCCATCATTTCCAAGCAAAATTACGAGATCGTAAAAATGATGGGTCACAAGGCTTCCATTCGGAAGCAAAAAACAAATAGATGCTGACCCCTCTCCAACTGTCCCTGAATCAAACACTCTATAAAACAATCAAATTATTTCGATAACGAGGGGTTTTAGGGAAAAATGTCTACATGTAGGATTTGCGATGGTCGGGAGTAACAAATCACTACTAAACGAATAAACAATTTAATAATATATTTATTCGCCGAAGCGTCAGTCTCAACAAGTACAATGAATATTGATTTGATAACTCAGTTGCGCTCGATACAACGGATGCCGATCAACTGCCAACGGCTCCTGTGCGATAGGACGCCGTGATAGAATAATTCGGTAGAGGCGCGAAATGTAATCCTCTATTATTGTGTTGGTATATCCGTGAGAGGACAGCAACGAAATACTAAATGCCTGAGGGTGACGTTAAACTGTCTCCTAAGTTAGGATGTCCCCCCATAGGACATCCAGGGTCAGGGTTTTAACGGCAGGTCCCCTGTGTGCTGCGTTGAGAGGAGCGAGAATTTCTGCAGTCCCTTTAATAAACTTTCTGTAAAAATTGAGAGCACCAAGAAATCTGCCAAGAGACTTAACGTTAGAAGGTTTTGGATATTTGAGAATCGCTCTTACCCGGTCCGCAGGGGGCTTGATCCCCTGTGCGTTGATGGTATGCCCAAGGAAAACCACCTCCGGTTTGCCAAGGACAGACTTCGCTACATTTACCACCAGACCGAAATCCTCCAAANAGTTGCATACCTGTCACAAGGACAGGGAATTGCTACAGATCCATTCGGAAGCTTACTACCAATGGAATTGGTAGAAATAAAAAAAAGAAAAGGACTAATAACGCAAAAAGTAACGGTCACATGCCTTTTGTCGGATGGGCTCGAATCCCTACTTGTTTTGGGGGGATTTATAAAAAATTCCCGAAAAATCGGTATACACATTCGGACATACATATACACATTTTCTAAAAACATCATATTTTCACATTTCATGACATTCTCCATCATTTCCAAGCAAAATTACGAGATCGTAAAAATGATGGGTCACAAGGCTTCCATTCGGAAGCAAAAAACAAATAGATGCTGACCCCTCTCCAACTGTCCCTGAATCAAACACTCTATAAAACAATCAAATTATTTCGATAACGAGGGGTTTTAGGGAAAAATGTCTACATGTAGGATTTGCGATGGTCGGGAGTAACAAATCACTACTAAACGAATAAACAATTTAATAATATATTTATTCGCCGAAGCGTCAGTCTCAACAAGTACAATGAATATTGATTTGATAACTCAGTTGCGCTCGATACAACGGATGCCGATCAACTGCCAACGGCTCCTGTGCGATAGGACGCCGTGATAGAATAATTCGGTAGAGGCGCGAAATGTAATCCTCTATTATTGTGTTGGTATATCCGTGAGAGGACAGCAACGAAATACTAAATGCCTGAGGGTGACGTTAAACTGTCTCCTAAGTTAGGATGTCCCCCCATAGGACATCCAGGGTCAGGGTTTTAACGGCAGGTCCCCTGTGTGCTGCGTTGAGAGGAGCGAGAATTTCTGCAGTCCCTTTAATAAACTTTCTGTAAAAATTGAGAGCACCAAGAAATCTGCCAAGAGACTTAACGTTAGAAGGTTTTGGATATTTGAGAATCGCTCTTACCCGGTCCGCAGGGGGCTTGATCCCCTGTGCGTTGATGGTATGCCCAAGGAAAACCACCTCCGGTTTGCCAAGGACAGACTTCGCTACATTTACCACCAGACCGAAATCCTCCAAACGTTGGAACAGTTGCCTCAGATGATCTAGATGTTGCTCAGGTGTCTCAGAGGCGAGGAGAATATCGTCGATATACGGAAATAGAAACGCCAGATCGCTTGTGACTTCATCGATTAAACGCTGAAACGTCTGAGCAGCGTTGCGCAGACCGAACGTCATGAACTCGAATAGCCCAAAAGGAGTTATTATGGCCGTTTTCTGGATGTCTTCAGCTGCTACCGGAACTTGATTAAACGCCTTCACGAGATCGATAGTCGAAAATATCGTGGATCCGTAAAGATTTGCGGCGAAATCCTCAAGATAGCGAACGGGATTCTTGTCCGGGATCGTCCGATCATTCAGGCCCCGGTAATCACCACACGGTCTCCATTCTCCGTTTTTCTTAGAAGCCAAATTAAGAGGCGAACACCATGGTCCCTGACCGCGCCTAGCGATGCCGAGCTTCTGCATATTCGAAAACTCAGCCTTTGCTATAGCCAGCTTATTTGGTAGCAAACGTCTTGGTCTGACCGATACTGGTGGGCCGGGAGTAGTCCTAATGTGGTGTTACGTCATATGCTTGGTGTCAGATGCTCTTTAATCGTCTGGAGTCTGACTGAGAACGACTCGAATTTAACCAGCTGTCCATCTGTTGAGAGACCAGTGGTGCTATCAATAAGTCGTTGATTCTTGAGGTCAGGCAGAAGACCGTAATGATGCAGCAGGTCAGCGCCAATAATGTACCTCGAAACGTCAGCTTCAACAAAACGCCACTTGATTTCCTTGCGAAGGCCAAGATCGAGCAGGATCGGTATATAGCCATAAGTATTGATCAGAATGTTATTGGCTGCGAACAGCTGATAACCAGACGCGTCCTTTTTCCGAGAGTGCACCCGGCGAGGACACACTGAAACGTCGGAACCGGTATCCACTAGGTACTATGCCTTGGTGGACCTATCGGTGACAAAGAGGCGACGGGATGTTAA